GTGAAGTGGGCGTAGAACTCTCAGACGAGAGGGACTACTGCGGCCGGCGGGGGAGAACAAAAAGTTCTCCAATTTATGGCATTGATGACCGAAGCTATGCTCTCATCATACCCCATATTAGGGGCGCTGGTCAGCAAGAACCCCTTCTCGGGGTTGAAAGAACGCCGGTAGATGCACTGGTCGTACTGGACTTCCGCCGCTATTGAGAAAAATGTCCGGTAACTAATCTGTGGGTTCCTTGGCACGCGACCCAAACTTTTGTTGGTTGGCCTCTTCGTGCGCACCATTTCGGGATCGGCGACGGAAGGAGCGGCTCAATCAGAAAAAATTTCAGCCCCAAAGCTGAAATTGAAATTCCGCGCCAAAACTTCTCTTGACGAATCTGAATAGGGGAAAGCCTCAAAGCCTCAACAGTAGAATCAGTGGGGTTGACGGCGCAGGAGAAAAGGATGCCACGGACACACTTGGTGGGGCTGGTAGGGTTTTTGACTGAAAGGGAAATCAGGGGAGTTTTGAATGAAAGCGATAGGGCATGTTGCCCCCTTTTTTTTTCTTTTTTTTTTTTTGAAACATTGCTACAGCAAAATTTTTTATTGAGAAAAATTTGGCTGCAGCAAAATTCTGGACTCAGCCCTCCCTTTCCTTTGAGCAAGTGAGATGGAGGTTTTCTGGCGAATAATCTCGTCACCCCAGTAGTGCTTTAGTCGCTGGCCGTTCACCTTGAAGGTTCTCCCTGAATCTGCAGCTGCTATCTCTACTGCCCCATGTGGATAGACTTGATGTACCACAAAAGGACCTGACCATCTGGACTTCAATTTCCCTGGAAATAATTTCAACCTGGAATTGAAAAGTAGAACCTGCTGCCCAACTTCAAACTGTCGAGGAATGATTCTTCTGTCATGCCATTTCTTAGTTTTCTCCTTATATAATTTGGCACTTTCATATGCTAGCAGCCGGAATTCCTCCAGTTCATTCAGCTGCAACAAACGCTTTTCTCCTGCTAAATTGAGGTCCATGTTCAGCTGTTTTACTACCCAATATGCTCTATGCTCCAACTCCACCGGTAAGTGGCATGCCTTCCCAAAGACTAGGCGGAATGGGGACATTCCCAGCGGTGTCTTGAATGCTGTTCTGTATGCCCATAGAGCATCCTCCAATCTCAGCGACCAATTTTTTCTATTTGGGTTGACCACCTTCTCTAAGATGCTCTTTATTTCCCTGTTGGAGACTTCAGCTTGCCCACTGGTTTGTGGGTGGTATGCTGTGGCAATCTTGTGTTTTACTCCATATTTGCTCAAAAGGTGCTCAAATTGCTTGCTGCCGAAGTGGGTACCCTCGTCGCTGATGATAGCCCTTGGTGTTCCAAATCGTGTAAGGATGTTTTTATGAAGGAATTTCACGACTACCTTGGAATCGTTTGTTGGAAGTGCTGCTGCCTCCACCCATTTTGAGACATAATCTACTGCCACCAAGATGTACAAGTTTCCAAAAGAAGGAGGAAATGGGCCCATGAAGTCTATGCCCCATACATCAAATAATTCCACCTTCAGAATGTTACTCAACGGCATTTCGTGCCGGCGGGAGATGTTGCCAACACGTTGGCA